TACTCAAAATGTGAAGGGATGTGCATACCGTACATGTACAGGTGAATAATAAGCCCTCCTGCTGTTTGAACAGGCACAGTCAGTCAAAAATCAATACTCTTTCCCTGCCATGCCTTTTAGACCGGCTAGTCACCAGCAGTCAGATCATATTTCAAGCAAGCACTGTGACTAGTCAAATTCAGTCAACAGACAAAAGCAGGCAAGTGGCGACACAGCTGGCTTATCAATCACCTACAGTCAAAGCATAGCTACCGATATTATCAGGCTTACAGCCAGTCAATCTTGCTTTATGAAGGCAGGGAGCACTCAACTGTTAAAAACAGTCACTTGATTGATTTTGACTGCTGGGCTGGCCTTGTTGAAATCGCCAGCCAGAGAGGGAGGGTTAATTATGAACTCAGACCAAAAGAGAAAGGTTGTCTACATGTAACACTAGCAACTTTTTTTTAATGAAAACCTATTCCCCATGTGCACATTATTGTTCATAAAAAAATGAGCAAATTAAAGGGTCTGCATTACACACATCTGTGTCTGAAAGTTCCTTCATTTTAAAATCCGTATAAACAATAGAAAACAAAATTTGGGGCAATTAATTGTCATGAGAGAAGATCAACATCTGTACAGCTGAAACCATAGAGCAGGGCAACGTGGACCTCCCACAAGCTTGTATCACACACTACATCCGTAAACCAAGGAACCAACTTGGGTCAGTTTTCATGGACATTAATTGAACATGACAGGTGTAAGTTAACACTTATTACACCGAGCAAGCTATAATAAGCAGCTATGAAGCGTGTACAGGAGAGATACCGTACGTGTGTCGCTGTCGGCAAACATATGGACCTCTGCCAACATGTAACAAATGTACAGCATTCTATGGACCTACAAAAAAAATGTACATGTAGCTGCAGGCCAATATGCAGGATTTCTAGTTGGGGGGGGGGGGGGGGGTGCGTAGGCTCAAGACATGCCATCAACTACATGTATTTCACAACATATTTGCATGTAACCTGGAAAAATGACACACAGTGGGGACTCAACTCTAATTGTCAATACAAGACCAGGATCTAAGAACAAGTCGCGAACTTGACCAGCAACTTGGAAAGTTTAAAAACTTGAAGGTGTGAGGGAATTTATAGTGAAATGGGGAAACATCCCGCCATCTGACGTCTACTTACATGTATAAGGGGGAACTTTTCAAATAAGAATGCCTAACGTTTGACGTCTGGATTGTCCTTGAATAAAACTGTGGAAAAAATGGAAACATACCATAGATAGTTGCAATTTACTTGAACAGAATGCGAAACAAAAGTGTTGACGGCGATCCCTTTTCAATTTTTGTTTGGAGTTTTTTGGTTGTTTTGGTTTTGTTTTTAATTTAATTTTTTTGGGGGGTGGGGGTGGGGGGGGGGGCAGGGGGAGAGAGGTGCATACTCCCCTAACACCTCTTTACATTTAATACATTCCTCAAGAAACTGGATCAACCATGAACATGTATTACAGGCCTACATTCTTATGCACTGCTAAGGACAGTAAGGTTCAATCAAAATCCCACATGTTTAATTACAGGTGACAGCTGTGACAAATCTTACGCACATGCCACAAATTTCCAAGCAAATTCTTCTCAGGTGCCAGAACAACCGCAACCAAATTCTGCCATCAAGTCCTGAAAACGAGACCAGAACACACTAAACCCAGATCCACCGTCAGTGAACAGATAAAATTTTACAGCCTCTTCAGCCCCTAAAACCAGCACTCTATATATTTTTAAATATGGTACATTGTAGGTAGCAGGGCTATCATACATGTAATACTGAATGGCGATCCCATCCTACACACACAAATTGGTTCGCTATTGAACGCTAATTCCTAGACAATTTGACAGACCAAGGAGGCAATGTGGGGTGAAATCCAAGCCGGGACAGATATCTGCATACCTGGCGATCCAGCTCAGGAATGGAGCCAGTGCTACTGTTATTTCAGGTACCAGGTGGTCGACTTGAAACTGCAGCGACCGTGACCGATCTTCTCTCTCGAGAAGCCAGAAAGACAAGGGCATGGGGAAAGGTGCACATCAATTGGAATTTAAAAATGGGTAAACAAACGCTCAGAGGTAGGGGGTAGCGTGACAGTAAATGGATATATGCGTCGGACAATTTAAATGTTAAAGCTAATCTCCCCGTGCTATTTTTGAATTTCACCCCGAAACTGCTAATTTTCTCTCAATACAAAAAAATTCACTTTTAAATGAGACTCTGAACAATTTTTTTCCCAAGGTTCACTAACTGAACTTCGAAATATTTGCAGCCCGACAATAATTCAGACCTGTGTATCCTTTTGTACGTTATGGGCGCATTTTTTTTTTTAAAGCAAACACAAATAAAGCCATGTTCAAAGGGTTTAAAATGTCTGAAATAGGAAAAAGGTACAAGGTACCGGTACACTCTGGTGACTGTGTGTATTACTGTGTATTTGCTGTCAGTCCTTGGAAAAAAAATTGTTTTTCAAATGGTGGCAACAAATTAGAGACTCTTATCAAATATCGAGGGTAATGAATTGTCCACAACCTAACATTTGCTTTTTGCCTACATTTGAGGCTAAGCAGAGATAGAGATGGGTGTCCTCAACCATCAGAATACTTCGGTTTCTGAACTCCAATAAGAAAAGAACACTGTTTTAGTTTTCTTTTCGAAGCACGGTGTACATGTACATTTCCCATATGTACATGTACATTAAGCCTTGGCAATCAATGAAAACACAGAACCATTCAGAAGCTGGTTCATTATACTTTAAACCGTTGATTGCAAGCAAAGCCGATTCGTTAGGGCAATGGGTGGGGTGGAAGTCTTGATGTAACCTAAAATTATCGACATCACAAAATTTGATTTCCTTTTGCTTTGACGTGAAGTGACCAGTCACTGGCATGTACACGTACAGTATGTAAATACCAGTTGTATCAAGAAGATTGGTTTTCCCTCTTCCTTTTTGTTATTTACTCTTGGGGAAAGAAGCTTTTAGGGAGGAAACCAATTCCATTCCTTCTTGAAATCCAATCAGTTCCTTAAGTACTGGAGATGGAAAGAATGCTCAGTTCAAGACATTCTTTTGTCAGAATCTTTCCTAGTATCATCCAACTCTGAGCAATAACATCTTCCCTTGAATTTCCCCCTTCCACCCCCCCCCCCTCAGCCAGTCAATATTCAACATGACCCCCTGCCGAGTTCACTCAGCTAAGACAATTGATTCCCATCTCCAACCGGCTTCCTGTTTTGCAGCCAAGCCGACCAAGGTCGACACGCTCCGCATCCTGTCTGCATCGCTACGGCGACACGCATCCCTTTACATCCATCCACCAACAACCATCTTCCTCCCCCCCCCCCCTCAAACACACAACACCTTGTCTCCCAGGTGTGAAAGCCTTTCCGTTTCAGAGACGACTACCGTATCGTGTGACAGCGCTTTGGGGAATGTTTCCCTCAATCCTCTGCTTTCCTCGAAATGTCAAAGAGCAAACAAATACGAGGAGAGAATCCGAGATGCTATCTCCATCTCAAACTCTCTCTTTTTTTTCTCTTTCTCTCTCTAGTTTTTATACCAAGGGACGTGTGAAGAAAATTGGCTGCAAAGTTGTTTGTCTCCCTACAGTAAGAGGAGGGTGATGAAGACGTTGATAATCTTGTTTGAAGACAAGATTATTTTGCCATGAGATCTTCAGAAGATCCTGCAAGAGATATTACCGGTTCTTAGACCTAAATAAAACATTTTTTCAAGACATTCAGTTGCTTTACTTGCATGGTCTTTACGGAACGGTGTATGGTTACATGTGATTCGGAAGTCCAAAGCCCCAGGAGCAACCTGTTCAAGTTACATGTAAGAATTTAGACTTTGTAAGATGCAATTTGATACTCTGTTTGCTACGTATTTGCAGACAAACTGTTTATTTTCATCTCTTCTAGGAAGACTTCTGGGAACAGAAACCTTTCCTCCTGGACAAGCCAGTTTTTACTCAACGCTTCAGTGTACCTGATGACAAGAGCACACTCTGTCAAGGCGTTGATTAAAAATCAACAAGCACTGAGCTTACAATTCTTCTGAGACAAGATAAAAAATGCACTACAGAAACTAAAAATACGTGTAACCAACCAAGGTGTTTCATGTTGTATAGCACCGTGCAGTTGTTATCTAGGTTGTAATGGTGGCACTGATTGGCATAGTTCTGTGCAGTGGTTTCGGAGAATTTGTCAATCAAGGTTTGCCGAACCGGGTCTTCTGGAAAGTCTTGAAGGATGAGTTCCAGGACCCTCACAACGATATTAACAGTAGTTTCATTCCAAGAAAGGGGCCAATTATGTGGAGCTGTGAATTACACAAATTTGCTTGCAAATTTTGCCATGTTGTGGAGGGATCGTTTTTCAAGATGGCTACTTTTCCGCTTTGGGGAAAATAGGGGTCGTCTTCTTTGGGTGAAAATATCTCGAAAAGTCAATGGTCCACCCACCAAAAAATGAAAAGAAAACGAAAGATGACACGTTGATCATCATTTTTCTGTGCAGCTTTTAACTTGTGAGAGTTCTGAGTATGGGCATTTAGCACTTGTGTCTATGGGAATTTTTAAGACAGGGTTGAACCCTGAAAGTGAAAAGGTTCCCGAAATATCCGTGTTGGACAAAGCTCCAACACAGAGAGTTTGGATAGTGTGAAAATGCCTTTAGATACTTGATTATCTCCTAGATGCATGAAATACCAACTCAGGGCAAAACCACTGCAAACATTACCCTCATTTTGTTTTTCTTTCTTCTTCTTCTTCTTTTTTTTTCTTTTCATGCGTCAATTATCACTGGCTACAGGTATCATGTCAGACAACACAGCCCTTCGGCTAGGCGTCTGTTAATCCAGAAAGTAATTTACATCGCATTACCGCCACTCCAGTTACTCCCAATAAACTAAGTTAAAAAAAAAAAAAATCCCGTCAAACGGGCCGAGGTGTAATGTATACTCACATCTGTCAGATCTCCGCACCTGCGAGTTGCATCAGAGAGCAGTGGCAACGATGCGAGCAACCACGGCGACAAAACCACAGCAACGAGAGAGAAACAAGAAGATGAGGGAAAAAAAAAAGAGATTATTAGAAATGAGTTGATTTACAATGGACACTGCCATTAATGGTAGGAGAAAAAAATATGAATAACTGTTCCCGTCTATCAACGAGGCTAATGCTTATTGAAACCTGACCGACAGCTCTGTAAATCTTGATATCGAAACCCACTAATGTCTCCGAAGGAAAAAACGGCAATAAATCAAAATGTGGCTTCTTCGTCTTTTTTTTTCTTTGCTCTTATTCTCGAAATGGGAAAGTGTATTAAATTTCCATTTAATTTGGAGCAAATATGGCTGGATGGAATTCCATACTTTTGTTTTTCCCCGGACATAATAATATGTTTGTTTGCCAGGCTGGTTTAGACTGACAGATATATGTATTTCATAGACATGTTGCACAAAAAATGTTGAGCACAGTAGAAGTTCACCCAAAAGAAAAGAATTTTGCCTTTAAACATTGTCGTACATGTATGTAGATCAAGTACAGGAACACATACATACATGCACTGCTAACTTCTCACTGATTCTGAGCTGATAAACTACCGGTACATGTACATGTACTGGTGCCTGTAAAAGTGGGATGGATATTTTTCTTCTCAACAACAAAAACAGTTAGACCACCTGTTGGACAAATCATTTTTTTTTGTAGAAAAGGGAACTTTCAGTACAATCGCCTTTTACTGCTTAAAAAAAACAAAAACACCGTGCTACAAATGTTGCTGTCGGACTAAAAATGTCCAAATTAATCAATCAAGTTGCAATTTAACAAGTCAGTCGGTTGCTGATAGCTGGTCACAGAGTACTCAAAATTCTATTCAATACGGGCGATTCACAACAGTGCGCCTCCAAGAGTTTGCAACGCATTGGCCAATCACAATGCGCGAAATCGGTCGACCCAATGCACGTTTGGAAAAGGTCGACTGATTTCGCGCATTGTGATTGGCCAACGCGTTGCAAACTCTTGGAGGCGCACTATTGTGAATCACCCGTATTGTGACTGGAAGTCTTTTCGTGCACCTGGTCTACACCATGGGCCAGATTTGGCTCATTCATTGGCATTACAGGGTAACCCTATATGATAGCACTGCCCGGCTCTCTTCACCAGTCTATAACCAGTGTAAGGTACAAGTGACAGCCAGCCAGTCAGACAGTCAAGTCAGTGTGATACACACATGTACATGTACATGTACAAAGAGAGGATACTAGGTAGCCTGTCCACTGGTATCAGTAGAAATGTCTCAATAAACACCATCAATTTTCCGCCCCCATCTACATGTATGTACAACTACATGTAATATTCTGCTTACAATCTGGGACATGAAAGATGATGAAAAATTTAAATGGAAATTCCAAAACTACATGGGCCTTTAAATTACAAATGAAAACCTCAGTAAAATCACCAAATAGACAACTTGGCATCAATACTTGTAAACAGAGTTGCTTCAAAGAAGTCACCAACGATTCCAAAACTTGTGGTGCCAAACAAAACCTTCCACGGCCTAGATTACTACAAATAAAACCATCATCGGGCTAGTAACTAACAGCCACCACAAAACGATGATTCACTCATGTGCATCACAGGAATGGGCTCCATGAACCAACACGGACAGAAGGGTTGGACCCATGCAAAGCTCCACAAAAATCGTAAAGAAAACACCTGAATACTCAAAGCATTTATCAAAAATGCTTATTAGACTGGTCAACCCCAGGAATGCGGGACACCAAAATCCCTTTTTTGTTGTTCTCCGCTGAACGATTTCCTTTCAGTTGAATAGCCTCCCACGGATAATTACTCCTCCTGAAAAGGAGGTGCCCTCCCATGAAAGGACTGTGTTTGGGTATAGGCGCTCATCATCTTGCCTGAGCCGATTACTTTCTTGAGGATCAGCTGGCGTTAGATCAAATTCCTGCTTCAGATTGTCTTGGAGTGGCCTTCTCTTTTGTCCACGAGCCTTTTTTTTCCTTATAGGCTGAGGCATTGGATTGCAGGGGAGCGATCTTTTTTCTTTTTTTTTATTCCTGGGCAAATAATCGATAAGTTTGGGATGGGATTTGGGCCAGACTTTATTGCCTTATCAACGATCAAGCTCCAAGCACTGACTAGCATAGATCTCAAATTCCATCTTATAATAGCATAGATCTCGTTCTCTGATTGCCAATTTTGAGGTGCTGCTTAGGAAATACGGGTTGCATGCAAAATATTGAACTCTCCGGGAGGTTCTTGCAGCAATTAAATTTTGAAAGTTGAATACAGCTTTTCAAATTATTTGAACATGATCGTCATGAAAACTACATGATAATTTTTTGAGCGTGAGAATCATGAACAAGAATGAAAGACAAAGAGTAGAGTCTCTTTTGGGGGTCAATTTTGCAGTCCTACATGTCCAAGCATCAAATCTTCAGTGGTGAATAAATTTGAAAAAAAAATTTAATTTATGAGTACACGAACAACCTGTTAATCAGTGTCTATCAAACTCAAGCATTTTTACAAGGAATCTTTCTGATTTCTGTGCACACAAAAAAAACACCAGTAGCACATTCTTTGTAAATACTTTGAACTTTTATGGGCCATCAAGTCCCCTATGGTGTATGTGTAATAGTGGTTTGGCTCTACCTTTCTTAATCCTCGGGGTGAGACTGGGGAGAGTAAAATGATAATCTGTGAAATAATCGACAGAGGGTTTGAGTGTCATCGAGGGCCCCATAGCAATGTTAGGTCTATGAAGTATGTTTGAATGGTATAAATGTTTAAATTTCCCTAACGGCACCCCCAAAACAACATTACAGAAAGTTATAGGTAAAAACACCTTTATGGTAAAACCTCAGGAATTCCAGATTTCAAAAAGGACTCCTTCAAAATCCTGAAATCAAGAAAATGCTGACAAAAAAATCCTGAAATTAAGGAAAATTCTTACCAAATATATCCTGAAAATCCAAAACCTCTTGGAAGATTTTGAGTACGGGATTAGAGCTCAACAAGAGTCTAACAGTAATTTGTATGCAGTTATTGTACATCACCAATTTCAACAAACATTTTTTTCACTCTTTCCAAGAAAAGCCTCTTATTTTCGGAAACTGCACCACAATCTGTCTGTTAACACATTTTTTTTAATCGTCAGAGGTTACTCACACAATCCCGCAAGAAACCTGAACCATAGAGGCAGAAGAATGCAACAGGAAGTTTTTCCATCAATATTTACCTATGATCTTGGTTCTTATTTTCTGCGTGACTGGCCCAGCCCGGCTCAAAGCCCTGCCAGACATTTTGTGCTCAATTTGCTGTGTATATAAACTCGCATTGTGTGCCAACCTACACCCCCCCCCCCAACTCCCCCTCTCCTTTCAAATTAATGGTGCCCCGTGTTGAAGCGTGCTGATGCCTTGTTACTGCTGTAAGGCATTGGCATTTTACGTGTCTGGAGATTACCGGTTTGCTGTTTACCAGGAATCACAGTTAAATGGCCACGATTAACGCAATCTTTGGATTGCTTGTGAAGGGATATGCTCTTTTGGTGATGTATTGTTGGCCTCTCAAAACCACCTTCTCTCTGCAAATACGCATACATGAACAGTAAAATAAACTCACTTTGTGAAATTGTGTGCAGGCTGCAAACTAATTATTGTGACTTTTACATGTGCATGCTATACAGGTTTTCATGTTTGTCTTTAAATTTCACTGGACAACTTGTACGTCTTGTGGAATGTTAAAAAAAAATATATGCAGGGTTTGCCCTTGACTTTTTTCTTCACTAGACAGCCGGACTAGTGAACCAGACTCTTAACTAGCCCGCTGGCCTTTTCACAAGTCCGCAATAGTACTTTAAATTTTTATTTGCCGTTTTTTTGTTTTTCTTTTCTACATTAATTTACATGTATACGCTAGCCATATCAGTGCAATAATCGGCGGCGCAACAGCATGAAAAAAGCCAAATGCCCGTCAGTATCACATTATTTTTTCTCAGACCAGCTTTAAAAAAAAACCCGCAGAAATCCGCGGCAATGCAGAAAAGTTTTATACCTTATCTCAATCATTTTGACGAGCCAGACGGGCTACTAGAGAATGGTTTTGACTAGCCCGCTGCTGTTTTGACTTGCATTTGGCTAGCGAACTACCGCTAAGGTAAAACCCTGTACATGTACATGTATGCGTGCAAGTGTCAATTATTCAAAGTACCACCCTACAACATTAAAAAGACCATCTTATACACCAGAATGTTTATTTCCTATTTCTACTGTGATTTTCAAAGCTGTTACTCCTCCATATACAACATTTATGCAAAAAGCCCAAGGTACTAACCAGATATGACCTACGCTTGTGCAATCTATGAAAGGGGGGACTTAAAAAAAAATTGAGAAAAGACACGTCATCCCACCTCGTCAATGATTCATACTCTCCGCGCTTTGAAGAAACCGACAACCCAACATCGGAGTGAAGTCCTTACATTCCGTGCGCTTCAAATGTTCCCCTTCTTCCTTGAGCTCACAGAAAAGGGAGGGGGGGGGGGATGAAAAAAAATCTGCCTCCCCAGTCTCACCTGCCCCAGGAAAAAGCTGCCAATTCCATCTGGGAGCCCCCTCAGGATCAATGGAGCTGTTGTTTCTGATCACCGGTTCCCACATATTGCTGCCACCGGTTGTCCCCCCCCCCCCCTTTACAATCCCGCCGGCAGCTAGACATGAATTTGTTATGAAGCCGACAGCACCTCGAGGCTCTGACGCAATTAGAAAGAGCAATCCCCCCCCCCCCATCTCCGTGAAATTCAAGCCAGGTTTTGCTGGGGATGATTCCCCTTGGATTTTCCCCCGATTTTTTTCTTGAGCTGAGGCTTCTTCTCGGACTTACCTATCATAGTACTAATAAAAAATAAACACGCAACATCAAACTATTTTTGTGTGGCGGGACAAATATATTTTTGGGGTTGATTTTAAATAGTCTAGAAGTGTCA